TCTACGTGACATACTTAGTGGAAACCTCATAGAAAGCGGTGAGTGTGCAAAGCTGTGTTCAAAGTGTTTGAAATCTTGGTTTGGAGTTTCTTTGTTTGGTTATGCAGGCGTCTGGCCGAGTGGGTTGCTATCAACTTGACCTTTCCAGGCTCTGAAGAAGGCGAAATTCGCCGAAACGTCAGCTTAATCGTGAACAAAGAATAGTAACACCTCGCGTTTTCTCAACAAAAATACGAAGAAAACTACCTACTACGTTAAACCATGAATAGAACCATGAATAGAAACACCATAAAAAGAGAAAAATGTTCAGGCATCTTCAAAATCGTTAGCATAAAAGATAAAGGTTGAGGCTTTCGGCGCTGATCAATCCCAGAGGGATGCTCAATGAATTGGATGTCATCGAACATCGCTAGAGGCGATCGGAGACATATATGGCCTATGAAATGAAAATTGAACATGAAAAGAATGAAAAGAATGAAATGAAATATAATGAAATGAGTTTTGATGATGGTCTGCCGATGTGTCAAGTCTGTGCTGCTATTCTCCTAGACAGATCTGATATCAATTTTCCGACCTCGGATGGATGGAAGGATTGGAGAGTCCGGTGCGAGATCCAACTAAGAACAATGTATATGTTGCAACACACCTCGAATCACTGCGTAACACGCACTCTTTTTGTTAGCATATTCGTTTCAAATAATTTGTCTCCAGTATGCTCAAACCATAATAGAGGACGCGTGTAGCGCTGTGGTTAGCGGCGCCATATACACACAGGAACGATTCTCGGCCCTAGGCTCCTCACCAATCCTCCATCACTCTGGGGTAGGCAAATTGGCACCAAACTTGTCTCAGGGGATAGCAGTACTGGCTCGATACATCGATAGGCCACCGCGAATCATTGTAAAGGCCAGATATGCACTCAATCACCTCCAACGATACTTAATGAAGTCGAATGCGTGGCGCACCCCGCAGGGATTGATCAACGTCGGGAGCTTTATGCTCTATCTTTTTATCAAATAGAAAATATTTTTGATTTGTAGGAGAACCCTGTGGTGGTTCGAAGCTGGCGAATTCATTTGTTCGTTGTCTGCTCTGTAGTAATTACCGTAATCAAATTTAGTCTACCTACAGTAATATTTTAACATGATGAGCTCATTAAATGACGCAAAAATAACTGACAAGTAAGCTGTAACATATACAACACAAAAATAATAGCTGTTCTGTACTACTGTAAATAGTTGTAGAGTTGTAGACCTAACAACTTTAATAAATCCCACGACCGACTTTCTATTAACCTCGGCATCGATCAGGTAATTCTTTGTATTCTTGTTGAGCAAACGCGAGGTGTTATTTTTTTTTCTTTATTCACGAATAAGCTGACGTTTCGGCGGATTTCACCTTCCTCAGAGCCTGGAAAGGTCAAGTTGACAGCAATCTATTCGCCCAAATACCTCCATAACCAAACAGAAAAAGCGCCAAACCAAGATTTCAATCATATTCAACACAGAATAGCTTCTTTGCACACTCATCGCTTTCTATGAGGCTTCCACTGGGTATGTTGTGTGAAGACCGACCGCACCAAATTCACATGGAATCGTAATGTGCCTCTCCCATCAGAATAACAGGCTTATATACTGCCCAATGTCACGCGTGATAGCAAGGGATTCCTCCCTGCGGTTCATTTTCGGATCCTTGGAATTAATCCAGAACACCTCGAGAGTTTTGCTCACCTTTGTTCTCAAATTTCTGTGTGAGGATCGTGATACGTAGTCAGTAAACGTAAACCAAATACCCGTTTCGCCAATGTATTTGTCTCCGCACGCCTTGGAGGAGATCAGATAAACTGTATCCGTGCTCATGCAATCACTGTCTCTATCATTAGGGCAAATTATGCAATTTTGCTTTGCACATAGACGGTTATATAGGCGGTTACGAACTAGCTGGCGCCTATGAGTACTGGGTGGCGTTTCAACTACGTTTACCGAATACGAACTACGAACACCTCGCTTTTGCTCAACAAGAATAAGATAAACTAACAACTTTTGTTTCAAAACGAAAATGTAGCTATCAAAAGTGCATGAAAGGAGCGACAACTCGATAGCGAAGGAATCATTAAGGCATCCTGACCAGGTCAATCCTGAGCTACGTATCACGTTTTCAGGTGATGCATAGCGATTTAACGTAGATAAAATACCACTTTTTAGTGGTTCTTTAATTTTGCACAGCAGATAAATCTAAATTATAAGCTTTTTCTCTGCTGTGCTTGGCGTACATGTACCCTCTTAATGTGCCCTAAATATTGAGACGAGGAAGACAAGCGCATTGATGGAAAATTTCCATCAACTATTTTCTCGCTGACGACATTGTCACTTTTTAAGAAGTACATTCACGCATGAGTCTAGCGAAATGCTGATTTTATCCCCCATTTTGACTTGACCACAGAGCTGCAACGATGGACTGCACTGCGACGTGAGATGGTCCGGGGGTTCTCTGGACGAATGACGTCTAGATATACATTGACGAAACCCGAAAAACTAGCAGTAATGAAAATATCTGGTCTCCTGGTGCAACGTTTTGCGTAGGAGAAGTGCATAATTGGTTCGATTCTAATAGGGCAAAGTCATTCTAGAGTGTTTGGAATTAAAATCTGAGGGTCTTTCTAGACTACCTAAATTTGGGAGCAATGAACATTTATTCAAAAGCCATTTTCTCCATTATTCGCTTTCTTGGTCGTGTAGATTGAACAAAAAGCCATTGACGCCCATTTTCTTGTATAAGGACTTCTGTCCTTTTGTGTGACGCCGTCTTTTCCTTTTATGCGTTCTACTTCAATGTTGTTTTTTTCTGTGTTACCATGTATGAGGTGATCCTGCTTGCTATATCGTCTTCAGGTGACCGGTTTACTTTATTTCTATATTTCCACAACGTTATTCTGTATAGTGCAACGTTCTGAATCATCCTCGTGGTCTATTATTCGCTGGAATGGATATCACCACAGCACTTCCTTCCGATCAAATAACGGCTAGTATCCGGCGAAGAACTGAGAACGCTTCATTAGGGTTACAATCAGGGAACAGATGAGGAATTTTTTCATTTATCAAGAAATCACTTTTGGTACCTTGCACACGTTCGTCTTGACGCCATGAGATGAGGCAGATGGTAAGAGACAAACAAAATTTGCATGAGGCGACATCGGAAACATATCAAAACAACATGCCGTCGACATTCCATGGAGAGGTTGTTTGCTTCGGGTTTACAATGCCAGAACGATTTCGTGCAATGCCGAGCTCTATGCTCCTATTGGGGTGGCAGTTCGTATTGAAAACCACATGATTATAAGAGACGAAAGGAAAGAAGACCAATGAGACAGAAGGGAAGAGCACTCTAATTAAATGACGGTAACTTTATCATTTCGAAAACATCTTCCCACGAAATATCGGTGGCGTAAGCTATTTCGTTAATCGTTTTATTGCCCATTCAATCATATGAAGACATTTTACATTATATGGCGATCCTTCGTCTCCAACTCAAGTGTCAAAAAGATCAGTATCATCGATTGATACTTTAGAAGCTGTGCGAGCGAGTTAGACCCGTCCTACAACCATTTAGAAGATCATAGAAGATCATTCATAGTGACCACTCATTCCATAGATCTGTCTTCACGCGAAGAATTATCCGTAGAAGAGAAGGATCCTTGGCAACTGGAAAACCTCGCCCACCTCGAACGCGTGCATAAGGAGCGTAAGCACTTAAAATTTTACAGTTAGGGTTGTTTCCATTCTTTAGAGAGCTCTGCAAGCTCTTCAAAAGGTTGTCTTGTTATGCCTACTAGGCACTTTGGATGTAGTCCTCCTAGTTAAGCAATCATCACTCAGGAAGATATTTTCCGGCATGAACCACGTTTAAACGTTCCGAGTGTCATAAAAATCTGTTGGGAATGTCACGTACTCTTTCTAACTGTTAGCAGTAACTAAAACGAGGTGGACAATGTATGAGCAAGTTCGTAAAATGGTATCATGGCTCTTATTACACCGTGGAGTTGACCCATGCTATATTAGAACTCTAATTGATTGTTATTGAAGTGACCTCATGCCATTTCGTTGTGGAGAAGGTTCCAACCGGTGCTGTTTACCATTTCACATTGCAACGAATAAAGATTTAGATCGACTGGAAGGAGAATAAGATATGCATTGATTAAAAAATTCTTGAGAAACTTTCGTTTTATTGGAGAAATTGTCGCCTTTCCAAGAATGGCACTAAAGCGGAGACAATGTCCAAGAAGCTGAAGCCAGACGAAGTGAAAAAAGTTGGGAGGATGACAGTAACATGGATCGGATTCGGACCTCTCAACGAAATCACTGATAAACTTATAAACTCGAAGTTTCGCGCGCACCTTTTTTAACTTAGCGACCCTCTGAGTGCTCTGGATATGGTTTAGAGGTAGATGAATCCTTCCACCATCGCTTTCGGTTACACAGCAATTTAACATCAAGCGTCTGCACAGTTAACATTTTCAAAAACCGTGTTGGCTATAAGTCGATTATATAAACAGAACAGTCAAGGGCAGGTGGACGATGGCGACAATAGAACTCACCACAAGGCGATGCAAGCGTTCATTGAACGACCACCTACAAAATCGGTGGACGCATTCGTGAATCATGATGTGATTCATAGGGAGCTCCCTTAGGGAATTAGGGGCTCTATGCACAGCTGTAGAGATCACAGAGTGATACTCGCACACTTATGAACAGATAAATTGTGGATATTTGGTTTTTCGAGTGGAACAATTTTTATACCCTGGAGGTATCGCTATCGTTATCTTTGTTCTCTCCTCCTTCTTTACCTCAATGCAACAGTGTCACCATTGATGTTCCAGAAAAGCTATTCTTCATCATTATTGTCTACATTTATAGATCGCATTTCGTGTCTACATTTATAGATCGCATTTCGGATTGAGTAGTTTTCTACGTAAAGGTTATAATTTTATTATAGGCTATAATTTAAAAGCTACACAAAAGAAAGACCAATATTTTCGAATCAAAAGAACGACGACTTGAGTAATCTTCTAGTCCATCTTTATAATGAGCATTGGAATTCCCATTCGAAGATCTGATGATTTCCTCTTTGTCGGACTTACCATCAGACTTGCCATTCTTGTAATTGGAGTAGTCCAAATGCGAGACGACGCCTTCAGCTATACGGCTTTTACGGTATTCCGAAAGAATCTTTGTTGGAAAGCGTGGTAATAGATGAACATCTGTAATTGGTGTTTTCACGTTAGGATGTTTAGCCGTGAACATCAATTCGTCTAGACAAATCAGACGCATGCCTTTGAAAAATCGTGTACTTGTGTCGGCTTTACCAATCTTCATCAATAAGGCTTAGATACTTAGCTACAGTGACGAAGCAATCTAAATGAACTTGAGAAGTTTTTCTTAAATCATACATGCCGTTAACGAGCCAAGATTGGCCACAGGACAACATCACAGAGCTTCACATCGAGAGCCACGAATTAGAATTGAATGAATGAAATAAACGGTTGGCTGTTTAACTCGAATTGTAGAAATCATCATCAGTGCCAGACTTTGTGACCTCCTTAGCGAAATTTTTTTTGCGGAAATGAGGGAGTTTCACGGAACTCGAAGACTAATACTCAAAAAGCCATTAATTCAGATTTGTGTACCTTTTTTTCGGTTTTTGGGATTTACCTGTTATCTTTCAGCAGCATCACGGGTGTGAGAATGAAGCCGGATATTCTAAGGCGGCCACGTAGACCATATAACGTGAAGCCCCTGAGCAAATGCTTCAAAATGAAGCTTCACAAGTCGTAGGCGACCACAAACCTAGTCTGAGTTCCTAAACCTTTGCATAAAAATGGATAAAAAATATCCTAGAGGAAGAAGGAGGAGTTTTGGCTGATGCTGCAAAAGTTGAGAAAAACAATCGCAGCAAATTCTAGGATCGTCTAATACACAAGTGAAATTATTGCTCTCTAGCCTCTAGAACGGATAGTCACTGCATTCAAAAGGACAGTGGGAGAAGTCTGCGATTTCTACTCCAATTACTTTTACATCCAGCCTACCTCTAAACCGGATTAGGATGGAAATGGAAGGCGATTTCGTGCAACACGTCACGTTTCCGTTGGGATCAGATTCGAGCATGGTGTGCCATCAGACTTCACCAACACATTTATTTGATTTTCCTGCGTTACTTGTTAGAATGCAACGTTCAGAATCAATGGAAAACCAGCATGACTCCATTTTTGCAAGTGACGGGCACTATACAATCCTGAAAATTGTTGCTAAATTTGGCTGCCAGTGGCTACAAGCTGTTCATTCTAGTTATTGTCAACAGTATTATTGGCAAATTGGACGAAAACAGCGTCCAAGGAAGCGCTCAAAAAATTCGGCATGACGTATCGTATTCACACTGTTGAAACTTAATGCGGTATCGCAGGAGTACAAGACGTCATTTTTTCTCATATTCAATGATTTGAAAGAGGTCTTTTGACCCCACTAAGGTGTGATTGAATGGTGGTCGCACCGGTGGGGTAAAAAAACAGTCCGAGAGGAACGCAGAGCCAAAGTTTCGGTTGTACAGTGAATGACACGTGAATCTCCGGAAAGGTTAACCGCAGGTTTGAAGCTCACCTGGGGTCTAGCGTTTTGCTTTTATCTCAGCATCACTGTTTCTAAGAAATAAGTGTTGGTACTGAACAGCCAGATTGATAGTGCTAAGTACGTACAGATATATATTTCGAGAGCAATCCAGAGGCTGGCGCATGTGGCGTTATGCGATGCATGTGCTGCGACACACAAATGGGGTCGATCCTCGCGCCCGTGGCTTGCCAAGCCTTCTAACTCTTCGGGATCAGCAAATTGGTACCAGACTTGTCTGGGACGATAGCAGCACTGGATCGATACATCGGTAGGCCACCATGAGACATTGTAAAGGTTGGATATTCATTCAATCACCTCCAAACGGTTCTTAATGAAGTGGAATGCATGACGCATCCCTCAGGGATTTATCAACATCGAGAGCTTTGTCCTTTTTATCCTTTTTATCCAGAGGCTATACATTGCATTGTTATTTTAACTTCAAGCATTAGCTCGAAAGACCGACTTTCTATAAACCTCGGCATAGATAGTTGACATATTTATTTATTTATTTATATGGTCTTATAAACTGATCTTAAGGTGACGCGAGGTTGGTACAGGTCTTCGTTGTCGTTGTCGTTGTTTTTGATATTGTTGGTCGATGACTGACGTTTCGGCGACTTCGCCTTCCTCAGATCCGTGATGTTATGTGTGGGTCAAAAACAACGGCAACGACAACAAAGACCTCTACCAACCTCGCGTCAGCTTAAGAAGATCAGTTTATGAGATCATATAAATAGATATTTCAAGTATTAACAATTAAGGATGTATATTACCCGACTTCGATAGCGTTTTTGAAGAAATCGGTCTTCGTTTGCTTACTGGGAAAGTGATGTTCGTGGGAAGGCATAGTTTTCGATTCCCCACTCTTAGTCTGCGAAATCAGTATCTCCGCATCCTAAAGCTATGTTTATCTATGTCGACAAGTCGACATGATGAATGATTTAGCGTCGGAACTAAGCAGGAGAGAACGAGCGCTTAGGGAGCTTCCAACATAATGGCAAGCAAACTGAGGAAAATACAAAGGAAAATCACCCGGCTTGTTATGTGGTTCTAGCCTTCTCAAGCTCATGAGTTCCCTCTTTCCATTCTCAACAACACCTTTAGCGGAAATTAATGCTTGGTCAAGCATTAATGCAGAATGGAATTGCTTTAGTGCAGTTAGAAGTCGCAGTTCTTGGTGCATTTTGTCGACTAATCGAAGATATTAAACATATTCTTGTAGATACCATATTTCATTCCTGTGGTGATTTTTGTTTAGGATTCAAGAAGTTGTGGTAGCTTATTCCATTTGCCGACCACGAAAAAATTACCGTAATCTTTTTCTAGTGCTTAAGTGAACTACGGACGTTTCTCGATGTCTCATCATTCTTCATGTCTTATTCTTGTGCTTCAACGGTTTTCGTACATAATTCATTCTTCGTAGCATCAGAATGCAGTCAAGGAGCGGATATTTTTTGTTGAATGGAAAAAATATTGCTCCAAACCTTTTTGCCTATTACTTTTTCTTCACTGCTCGCCTCTTGCTTCATTCGTACGACATCGTCGTCCTCGGTCACGTGATTGTAACTAGGAGCTAAAAAGCATTTCAAAATCAATACTTGATATTCAATATTTACTTACTTGGATACTTGGATGGCCCGTCCTCACGAGTTGTGCGGACCCCAGCACATCCGCCATTCGTTTCTTTCCCTCGCAATCGTCATCTGTGGTGGTGGTTTTACTCCAGCGTGTTGTCGCATGCGACTCTCATATCGTGATCGTATTCAATATTTAGTACTTTTTAGTATAATGTGGAAGTTTCCAACATTAACTTTCTATTAACCTCGGTATTGGATTATAAATCTGTTGTTCTCTTTTTTACAGCAATCGCGAGGTTGTTATTCAGCACACGTTTACTTCCTCACAAATCTAACACATACAACACAACGGTAGCTGACGTTTCGGCACTATCGCCTTCTTCAGAGCCTGGAAGGGTGCACTAATATGTAACTTACTAGGTCAAACGCTTCAACAATGCAAACAGAAAGATGAGAATCTGAACAATAATTATACGATCACCGGATTTTCGAAAAACCCACCGTTTTTTATCAAATATCAATCAATAGCAAATAGAGGTGAAAACCAAGAGATCTTCTCCGCTATGTTTCTGTATCCTATGCATGCCCACTAGTGTCTTGTTTCGATTTCCGTTTGCCATCTAGATGTTCTTTTATGCGGATACATTACGCAGTTACTAGAAGAAATCAGGTGTGTCGTACCTGAAATCATGCAGTCACCGTCTCTGCTGCAAGGGGAATTACGCAATTTGGTGTTTCACATGGACGGTCACACAGGTGGTTAAGAACTAACTGACGACGCAGAGTGTCCGGTGGTATTTCAAATATCGCTACTGATTTCTCTAGATCTGCACTTCTCAAGCATCGCTTTATCGCTACACTTATTTCATCGCTAATGAAAGGCGAGATAAACGGGATTTTGTTTCGGCCAAACCCTTCGTGTTGGGGCGTCTCTCTCTTCCTAAAATTATATCGTAGGGTTACTATTTTGTAGCCATTAGAGATGGCTATTTCCCAAGCCAAGTTGCGCGATTCTTCCTTTAGCTCCCTACTTGTGCACACAGAGGTGGCTGTTCGAAACATGTTTCTCACAAACGCCCTTTTTGTGTGTGAAGGGTGGGAAGAAAGGAAGAAATGAACAAGAATGTTCTTATTACTTGGCCTTCAATACCACTTTGTCAGGTAACCGCTACTTGATAGGTTTATTTGAACATCCAAAAACTGAAGCCAGTTTTTTCTCTGTTTCTCCCGGGTGAACTTTATGTACTCGGACTGCTCGTTCAATAATTCAGAGCATTTGTCCATCTCCTCCTGCGTAGAGAAGACGACAAAACAATCATCTACATATCTGCAGTAGAGTAGTGGCCAGAGATCGAGAACAGGGGCTTCTATCTTAGACATAAACACATTGGCAAGGCTTGGTGCCAATTGCTGTCTCATTGCCACCCCCTTATTTGCGCGAAATATTTCTCAGACCATCTGAAAATCGAGCAGTTTAGGCACTCCTTTAAGAGAGCCATAAGCTGCTGGAAGGACAAGCTATGCATATTTATTCTTCCTTCATGTCCAACAAGAAGTGCGAAGATGGCTTGCATTGCTAAGTCATTCGATACGTTGGTCTTCAGAGCGGCAACGTTGAAAGGCTCCATCACGTACGCTTTATTAGGAGACGCGTTATGTAGACGTTCCAGGAACATTTGGGTGTTTGTGAGGTAAGCTGGAATATGTTTAAGCAACTGGGTTAGTATTAGGATGTTCCTCAGTTATCTTAACATTTAGTTAGCGAGGAATACCTACGAACTCTTCCCCTTATCACTAACTGATAGCCTAATGTTCTTTGAATTTATTAAACCTCTAATTTCTCGCATGCCACACTTTTGTGCGGCTGTAAGGTTAGAGATAAATCCTCTATCGTGATAGTGATTAAGAGTGTTGAGAACGCCGCTTGAAAATATGCGGAATTTTGTGTCAATTCCGTCGTTGGGGTCCTGCTGTCTAAAAACGTTCTAAGGAAAGGAGATGGTGGTAATGTCACTGTCTCTTGGTTTGCACCCCTATTTGCTATTGATTGATATTTGATAAAAAACGGTGGGTTTTTCGAGAACCTGGTGA